ACTGTGTGGATCACAACAAACTGTGGAAAATTCTGAAAGAGATGGGAATACCAGACCACCTGACCTGCCTCCTGAGAAATCTGTACGCACGTCAAAAGCAACAGTTGCAACTGGACATGGAACAATGGACTGGTTCCAAATTAGGAAAAGGAGTACGTCAAGGCTGTATATTGTCACCCTGCTTTTTTAACTTATATGCAGAGTACATCATGTGAAATGCTGGGCTGGATTAAGTGCAAGCTGGAATCAAGATTGCAGGGAGAAATATCAATAACCTCAGATATGCAGATGACACCATCCTTATGGGAAAAAGTGAAGAGAAACTGGAGAGTCTCTTGATGAAAGTGAAAGAGGAGAGTGAAAAAACTGGCTTAAAACTCAACATTCAAGAAACTAAGATCATGGCATCTGGTCCCATCACTTTATGGCAAATAGATGGGAAAACAATGGAAAAAGTGACACACTTCATTTTCTTGGGCTCAAAAATCCCTGCAGATGGTGACTGCAGCCATGAAATTAAAAGACACTTGCTCCTTGGAAGAAAGGCTATGACAAAAGTAGACAGCATATTAAAAAGCAGAGATATTACTTTTCTGACAAAGGCCTGTCTAGTCAAAGTTATGGTTTTTCCAGTAGTCATGTATAGTTATGAGATTTGGACTATAAGGAAAGCTGAGTGCCAAAGAATTGATGCTTTTGAATTGTGGTGTTGGAGAAGACTCTTGAGAGTCCCTTGGACTGCAAGGAGATGAAACCAGTCCATCCTAAAGGAAATCAATCCTGAATATTCACTGGAAGAAAATCAATCCTGAACATTCATTGATGCTGAAGCTGAAGCTCCAATACTTTGGCCACCTAATGCAAAGAACTCACTCATTAGAAAAGACCCTGATACTGGGAAAGATTGAAGGCAGGAGGAGAAGGGTCGACAGAGGATGAGATGGTTAGATGGTATCACCAACTCAATGGACATGAATTTGAGCAAGCTCCAGGAGATGGTGATGGACAGGGAAGCCTGGTATGGTATAGTACATGGGATCACAAAGTGTCAGACACAGCTGAGTGACTGAACTGAACTGAAAAAGCAAGGCACTTGAGGTGCCTTGAGGTGGATGAACCTAGAGCCTATTGCACAGAGTGAAGTAAGACAGAAAGAAAAAGAAATAGTGTATAGTAATGAATGCATATATATGGAATCTAGAAAGATAGTACTGATGGACCTATTTGCAGGAAAGCAATGGAGACACAGATTTAGGAAACAGACTTGTGGACACAGTAGGGGAAGGAAAGGGTGGGGCAAATTGAGACAGTAGTATTGAAACATATACATTACCCAAATGTAAAATTAAATAATCAGTAGAAATTTGCTGTATGATGCAGGGAGCTCAAATCAGCAGCTCTATGGAAACCTACAGGGGTGAGATGGAGTAGTCTGAAGGAAGGAGGTTCAAGAGGCAGTGTTATGTTGATACATGACAGACCAACCCAGTATTGCAAAGCAATATCCTCCAATTAAAAATAAGCAAACATAAAAATATAAAAATATTTTTTTAAAGTAAACAACTAAAAAAAACAAAATAGGAGCAGACTGAGGGGAAAGCATGACTTAAATATATGCTGCCTACAAAAAAATACTTTAATATGATATCCACAGATTAAAAGTAAATGGATGGAAAAGATACACCATGTAAACATGGCAGAGAAGAAGGAATTCTGACTTCATGCTGGAACTATTTTTTTGACTTCTTTTCCTGTTGTTGTTATCATAATCACATATAAGGCCACAGCACAGAAAACCCAGTCCCTCTGCCTGACTGTTGGTCTAAGGTTCCTTTGCTCAGCTCACAGGGAGATAATTTGACAATCCCCACCTGTGATGAGCTGCAGTAAGGAAGAGAATGTTTGTGCTGTATGTACAGAGTTGCTCAGTCGTGTCAGACCCTTTGTGACCCAACAGACTTAGCCTGCTAGGCTCCTCTGTCCCTGAAATTTTCAAGGCAAGAATAATGGTGTGGTTGCCATTTCCTACTTGAGGGGATCTACCCGATCCAGGAATCCAACTTGTGTTTCTGGCACTGCAGTGGATTCTTAATGCTGAGCCACCAAGGAAGTCCAATAATGGGAGAAATACAAATCAAAACTACAATGAGGTATCACCTCATACCAGTCAGAATGGCCATCATAAAAAAGTCTACAAACAACAACTTCAGGGGAGGGTGTGGAGAAAAGAGAACTTTCCTACTCTGTTGGTGGCAATGTATATTGATAGAGCCACTATGGAGAAGAGTCCAGAGAGTCCGTAAAAAACTAGGAATAAAACTACCATATGAGCTGGCAATGTCACTACTGGGCATAGATGCAGAGAAAACCATAACTGCAAAAGATACATGTACCCTAATGTTCATAGCAACACTACTTCCAATAGCTAGGACAGGAAAGCAACCTAGATTCCATCCACAGATGTGCAGATAAAGAAGTTATGATATATATTTATATACAGTAGATGTGCAGATAAAGAAGTTGTGATATATATTTATATACAGTGGAATGTTACTCAGTCATAAAAAGGAATGAAATTGAGTCAGTTGTCGTCAGGTAGATGAACCTAGAGCCTGTCATACAAAATGAAGTCAGAAAGAGATAAACAAATACCGTATGTTAATGCATATATATGGAATCCAGAAAAATGGTACTGATGAACATACTTGCAGGGGAGGAACAGAGACTGAGATGTAGAAACGGACCGGTGGACAATGGAAGGACTTGTGGAGGATGGACAGGGTAAGACGAATTAAGAGTATCACTGACATACATACACCATCATGTGTAAAACAGAAAGCTAGCATGAAGCAGCTCTGTAGCACAGCACAATTTGCTCAGTGGCCTGTGATGATCTTAGGGGTCAGAGGGTGTGGGTTGGAGGGACGCTCAAGAGGAAGGGGGTATATGTGCACTTACAGCTGAGTCACGTTGTTGCACAGCAGAAACCAGTACAACACCGTAAAGCACTGTCATCCAGTTTCAGGACAAGAAAACATCTACAACCAATAAATGCTGCACAGAGTGTGAAGGAAAAGGAATATTATTACACTGCTGGTGGGAATGTAAACTGATATAGCCACTATGGAGAACGGTATAGAGGTTCCTTAAAACACTAAGAATAGATGTTGCTGGTTGAAGATGGCAGAGAGGAAGAAGTGTGCTCATCTCCTCCTGTGAGAACACCAAAATTGCAGCTAGCTGTTGAACAACCATGGACAGGAGGACAGTGGAACCCACCAAAAAAATATATATATATCCCATGTCCAGAGACAAAGAAGAAGCTGTAACAAGATAGTAGGAGGGGTGCAATCATGATAAAAAAAAAATCCTATACCTGCTGGATGGGCGACCCACAACCTAGAGAACAATAATACCAAAAGAGTTCTCCCACTGTTGTGAAGGTTCTGAGACCCACATCAGTCTCCCGGCCTGGGAATCCAACAAAGGGACTGGGAGTACCCAATAAATCTGATTTTATGGGCTGGTAGGATTTGACTACAAGAGTTACTCAGGACTAGGGGAAACAGACTCCACTCTTGAGGGCACAAACAAAATCTTGAGTGCACAAAGACCCAGTGGAAAGGAGCAATGACCCCACAAGAGACTGAATAAGACCTTCTTGTTGGTGTTGGGGAGTCTGATGTGGAGGCATGTGTTAGCAGCAGCTTGCTGCAGGGACATAGGCACTGGCAGGACCCTTGGTGTAAGTCCTCTTGAAGGTCACCACTAACCCGACCACAGAGCCCAGCCCAGGGCTGGGTCGCCTCAGGCCAGACAACTAACAGAGAGGGAACACAACCACATCCATTAGTAGACAATTTGATTAAAGTTTACTGAGCACGGCCCTGCCCACCAGAGCAAGACCCACTTTTTCCCACCGCCAGTCCCACTCATTAGGAAACTTATACAAGGCTCTTAGCCTACTCCATCAGAGGGCAGAAAGCAGCAGCAGCGAGATCCACAATTCCACAGCTGACTAGAACAAAAATCACATTACAGAAAGTTAATCAGAAGAAAATGCAGAAAGTTATGTCTCAGATGAAGGGACAAGATAAAAACCCAGAAAAACAACTAAATGAAGTGGAGATAGGCAACCTTCCAGAAAAAGAATTCATGATGATAGTGAAGATGATCCAGGATCTTGGGAAAATAATGAAGAAGATGCAAGAAATGCTTACCAAAGACCTACAAGAACTAAAGAACAAATAAATATGAATAATATATTCAAGGGAATCGAGAGCAGAATAACTAAGGCAGAAGAGAAAAATGACACGGAGAATAGAATGGTGGGAATCACTGCCACAGAACAGAATATAGAAAAAAGAATGAAAAAGTGAGACAGCCTAACCCACTCCAGTATTCTGGCCTGGAGAATTCCATGGACTCTACAGACCATGGGGTTGCAGAGTTGGACACAACTGAGCAACTTTCACTTTCACCTCCAAGAGACCTCTGGGACAACATGAAATGCACTGACATTCGCATTAAAGGCATCCCAGAAGAACGAGAGAGAAAGGACCTGAGAAAATATTTAAAGAAATAATAGCTGGAAACTTTCCTAACATAGGAAAGGAAATAGTCAACGAAGTCCAGAAGCATAGAGAGTCTCAGGCAGGATAAACTCAAGGAGGAATACACTGAGATATACAGTAATCAAACTGACAAAAATTAAAGACAAAGGAAATATATTAAAAGCAACAATGGAAAAACAACAAATAACATATGAGGAAACTCCCATAAGGTTATCAGCTGATTTTGCAACAGAAACTCTAGAAAGTGAAAAGTGAATGTTGCTCAGTCGTATATGACTCTTTGTGACCTTGTATAGTCCATGGAATTCTCCAGGCCAGAATACTGGAGTAGGTAGCCTTTCCCTTCTCCAGGGGATCTTTCCAATTTGGGGATTGAACCCAGGTCTTCCGCATTGTATACAGATTCTTTACCACTGAGCCACCAGGGAAGCCTGATTGAGATCTATAAAACATACTTTTTATCCGTAGCACNCAGCTACATGCAGCACATTCTGGTAAATTCTCTTTTCATTTTTATTCTATTACAAATATTTTCTAATTTTCCTTGTTATGGCTTCTTAGATATACCCTCATCTAAAACTGGACATTTAATTCCCAAACACATGGGATTTTTAAAAGATCTTGCTATTATTTCTCATTTTGATACTAATTTCCCACTTAAATCCTTTACTCTCTGCAATCACCCTCCATGTTTTTTCAGTCTTCAAACTTTTCAAGAGTTTCAACAGCTAAGTCAAAGATCTCTCTTGGTGAATGTCACATGGAACTTGAAAATATGTAGGTTATTTTCAAATACCTTTTGATATTGGTCTCTAACATTATTCCACAGTAGTAAGAGAACAGATCTGTATGATTTCAATACCTGTAGACCATGACATTTCTGTACCTGGTCTTATGTCTCTGGATATGTTCCAGTGTCTCCTAGTTTACAGTCTATGGGAACTTGAAGAGAATTTGTATCCTACTGTTGTGTGGAAATTGTATAAACCTTAATTATGTTGAATTGGTTCGTAATGCTTTTCAGGTCTACTATATTATTCTACTTTTCTGAACATTCATTCAATTAATTTGAGTTTGATATTAAAACTCCAACTAAAAATCTTAATTTATCTACTTAAACAATTGTCACATATAGTGAACCATATGTAATTTTGTTCTGTATTTTCCAAGTCTCTTATAAATGTGTTATAATTTCATAACTTAAAAAAAATAAAACAAAAGATTTTAAAAACTATGATTGTCAAAATACATGTTCAGTGAGAATCATCTAGAAGATCTATGTTATCCTCACTCCTGGAACGCTAACCTGTAGAGCAGAACTTTCTGGAATGCTGCCTGTGACTGGATGCTCTGGCATTCAAAGGTTCATCTGGGAGTGACACAGGTTACTTCCATTCATATTTTATTGGTCAACTAAGCCACTTGGCCATTCCTGAACTAAGTGGGGGAGTGGTGAGGCACAGGCAGGAAGAATAATCTTATGTGACCAGGAGAGAACCAAACATTTGTGAAAAGCCCAAATAACTTCCACGGTTCACTCCACCCCCGAGAACACCTCTTTGTACTCTCTCTTTGTAATACTGAAGTATGTTGGTTCCCTTCCCATCTCCATAAATTGTCCTCTGTTAGTTCCTTTTATTTCTCCTTCCCCTATAAGAGATCATTACCTAAGAGTATGCTCTTGGCTGGATTTTGAGTGTGTGTGTATGTATATTTTAATTCTCTCTCTTACTTTACCTGTAAAACTTTAATTATCACAGCTGTGGAGATAATCTCTTGAATTCCAAACCTATATTTTTCTTTTGGAAAATCTCCTTGAATAATTCATGACTTTTCCGTTTCCTTAATATTCCAGGAATCAAAACATTCAGTAATTTTATTCTTTTGTTTTCTTCCAACCTATCAATCTCCTTTTGTTTTCCTTTTTCATATTGCTTTGCAAACTAGCCTTTCTTCTATAACCTATTCAAATAAGAAGGGAGTTCTGAGCTGAGACTTTCTATATATAATATTTCCTATATATAATTTGTTGATACACTTCAAGCTGGCTGATCTAAACATTCTTTTGAAGGCATTTTTCTCACTTCTGAATCTACTTGGTATTTTTACTATTAGTGTACTTGACACTTCACTCAAGTTTCCTACGACCTCCTACAATGATTATTCTTCTAGGGAATATACGTTTTTCCTTGCTTTTCATTCTCTGTAGTATCTAGCAAAGATTTTGCCATTGAGGTGATATTCATTTTTAAATATAATAGGTAGATCTCAACACTCAATTGTAGATTAATCCCCACGTGCTAATTAACTAGGTTAAAGTATATGTATTGAAAACATATTTACCACACCTTTTTGTCTTACCTTGAACTTATTGCCTAAGTTCTTTGATCTTTTCAAATGAATTACTACTGAGTTGTCTGACTCAGCTCATACTTTCCTATAGTTAATATTTGCTTTATGAATGTGTAACTTTCACTTAACTCTGTTAAATTCCCTGTGTTGATTTTAGCTCTTTTTCCAAGATTTAAAATGCTCACAGAGGTGAGGTAAACACCCTAAACATTAACATTGAAGACATACCTACTAATTTGCTAAAAGAATCAAACATTTTCATTTGGTAAATTCAAATCTATGGAATATTTATCATTCTTTTATTATCTTTTGCTTTCAGTTAAAAATAAATGTGCTGTTGGTATGCAAAAAAAAAAAAAAAAATAGAACTACCATATGACCCTGCAATAACACTTCTGNTTGAGAATGCAGTGATAACTGAAGCAACTCCCATCCATGAAGATGAGAACTGTGAGCCAGCCAAGAATTTTGAGTCAGTTGACCAAAGTGCCAAGTCAGAGTAAATTGGAATCTATAGCTTCTACTCAGAAAAGACCAGAGTCCAAACCTTCCCGTGACCTTGACACAGAAGTTCTCCCTATTCAGGCATCACAGGCTGCAGGCCAAGAGACTGTTTCCAAAGATGTACCCAAGTCTGGATGGGGCTACTGCGGCAGTTGGGGCAAGTCCTTGCTCTCCTCAGCCTCAGGTAGGACAAGGTATTTCAAATGTCATTGAGAAGGCAGAGACCTCCCTTGGAATCCCTAGTCCCAGTGAAATTTCAACTGAAGTCCAGTATGCAACATGAGAGACAAATGCCAAAGAGAATGGAAACTCCTCTCCAATGAGTGGGCCATTTGGAGTATTCTTGACCATCTCTACTGCTGTTCAGAGCACAGGAAAGAGTGTTATCAGTGGGAGTTTGGATGCCTTAGAATTCATTGGAAAAAAGACAATGGATGTAACAGCAGAAGGGGATCCTGGATTTAAAAGAACCAAGGGTCTGATGAACCAGACTTCTGATCTACACTCTCAGGTTTTATAAGAGGCAAAGGAGAAAGAAGAGCTATGGACTTCCAAAGAAGTTACCATGGAAACAGACAAGAAAATTCATTATAGGCTACCCTTTGATGAATTTCAAGGCCTTCCACTTATAGAAGCTCTGGAGATGCTCTCTCAAGAAAGTGAAATAAAGGTGAAATCTATTCTTAATTCTCTAAGTGGAGAAGAATTAGAGACTCTAAAACTTGAATTGGAGCAACTTAAAGAAGCATTTTCTCTAGCAGAGTTCTATGAAGAAGAGAAGAAAGGGAATGAAGACTTTACTGAAGAGATAACAGAGCTATTTTCTCAGCTGCATGTC